GATTCAGCATGTCTGACCTGGCAGTTTCATGGCGGCTCTCTCTGCCTGCTTTCTTTCTCCCAGCATTCAGTTCTCTTTTCCCCGCCTATCTAAGTTCTGCCCTATCAAAAGGCCAAGGCAGTTTCTTTATTCAACCAATGAAAGCAACACAAATACAGAAGGACCTCCTATACCATACCATGCTGGTTTCAAACTCCCAGAGTTCCACCAGCCTCTGCCTCCTGTGTGTTGGGATTGTAGCTGTGCATCACCGACCAATTTAGTCCTCTGTTCTTTTAACTGCTGTTTCAGGAAGATTAATAAGATGGAACTAAACAATATAAAAGATGAACACAATATTCCAACAAAACCTCCCTCAAGAAAAAGAGAAAGAGACAGAGAAACAAAGAAATGGTCTTGTGAATCAACCAATCCCATTAGCCTCTGTCTTAGTTAGGGTTTCTATTGCTGCAATGAAATACCATAACCAAAAAGAAAGTTGTGAGAACAGGGTTTATTTGGCTTCACTTTCACATCGTAGTTCATCATTAAAGGAAGTCGGGACAGGAACTCGAACAGGGCAGGAACCTGGAGGCAGGAGCTGATGCAGAGGTCACAGAGGAAGCTGCTTACTGACTTGCATCCTATGACTGGTTCAGCCTGCTTTCTTATAGAACCCAGGACCACCAGCCCAGGGACAGCACCATTCACAAGTGGCTGGGCCCTCCCCATCAATTACTAATTAATAAAATGTTCTACAGGCTTGCCTGCAGTTTGATTTTATGGCAGCATCTTAATTGAGGCTCCCTCTTCTCAGTTGACTTTAGCCAATGTCGAGTTGACAGAAGAATTAGCCAGAATAGCCCGCAACCTACTTTCTTATTTGCTGTTTGTTTTTGTTTTGTTTTGTTTTGTTTTGTGGTGTGTTTTATCTTTCACTTTCTTTTTGTTTCTTTGAGACGGGATCTCAAGTAGGCCAGACTGGCCTCAGGCTCCCTAACTAGCAGAAGATGACCTTGAACTCCTGGCCTTTCCTCCTCCACCTCACAAGTGGGAATGCAGGTGTGCTGCAAGGTGTCCAGTTTATGGCTTGGGTTTTTTTCTATTGTTGTTTTGCAGTAGGATTTCAAGCCTAGGAACCCAAGCATGCTAGAAAAATGCTCCTAACCTCCAACCAGGGACCTCGCCTGCCTGCTGCCTCCCTGATCCACTGCTATTCTCCCCTGCACCATTTCCTCCCTAATCCACCGCCATTATCCCCTCTACCATTTCCTCCCTGATCCACCACTATTCTCACCTGTGATTCCATTCCTCCCTGATCTTTGCTCTGGGAAGTCACACGCCTCCTCCAGCTGTTCTTGGGCTTGCTCTTTTTGGCGTCTAAACTACATCTGACCCTTCTGAAGCCCTGGCCAGCTCACCTGTTCTCTCTTTTCCAGGAAACATACAGGAACGCTTTGTCAAGTGGCCTTTAAGCAGCCTCGTTGCTCCCCATGCCTGCCACTCTTCCCTAAAACAATGTTGTCAGAGACATCATCATTTGTATTGCCACAGTCGGCCTGCTCCAAGCTGTGGCAGCGATACAACCATCTGCTGCGCATGTCCTGCTTCTACATCTTTTCAAATGATTTGTCCCTGCTACAACAGCCATCCCCCTCCTCTCCAGTGCTCCAGGACCCTGCTTCCCCCTGCACCCTGCCCAAATCCAGTTTCCCTGGAAAGCTTTCCTGATGAGCCTCATCCAAATCTAAGCAGCACGCCCACTTCAACCCCAACTCAGAGTGTCCTGTCACACCCATCCTGGGACAGCTTTCAGACATGTCCCATGGTCTTCAGTCACAGAGATGTGGTGACTCCCTCTCTGTGACATCAGTGGCAGTAACTTTCCACACAGTACATGATCAATAAATTTAACTGTCTGACTGACTGATTCAGAAGAAGTCCTGAGACAGCATCCAACCCCCTTCCCCACAGGCTTCTAGCCACGCTCCCCTGAATAGCAGGCAGCAGGAGCTCCAGGCCTTCCACCTACTCCCAACCCCAAATTACAGTGTACCAATAGTACATGACTGACTCAACCCTTTGGCACAATCTTAGTGGGGATCAGGTGAGAGACAGAGCTAAGGACTGCAAGGCAGGATTGCAAAAGGTAGGGCCTGTCACAGAATGCATTCTGTGCAGGCTTTCAACTGAATCCTCAAAGTATCACGGGAACAGACTCAGATCAGCCCCGGGCAGCAGCAAGCCATGAGCCCCAGTCCCTCCTGCTACAAAACCCTCCCTGCTGTCAGCATCAGGGACTTTTCCTATTTCCTACCTTGATTCTCCCCATTGCTTTTAATCATTGCTATCATTTGGATCTTGTGTCCTCCAAAAGCTCACGTGTTAAAACCTAGTCCCAAGTGGTGCAACTAGGAGGTCTAGGACAATTAAGAGGAAGTCAGATAGATAGATAGATAGATAGATAGATAGATAGATAGATAGATAGATAGATAGA